GCTTTCTTTTTTCCATTGTACACTTTTGGCTTCTTTGTCAAAAATTTTATGTTCATAGGTGTGTGGGTTAATGTCAGGGTCTTCAATTCAATTCCATTGGTCCATATGTCGGTTTTTATGCCAATACCAAGCTGTTTTTATTACTGTAGCTCTATAGTAGAGCTTGAAGTCAGGGATTGTGATGCCTCCAGAGGAGGCATCTAGGCAGTGGTACCAGGTCCTGGGATCATTGCATGAGTTAGCTGTTTGAAACCTGGGACTTATGCAGGGACGCATTGCTCAATTTGGGAGGAGGGGACTGGACCTGCCTGGACTGAGTCTATCAGGTCGATCTCAGTCCTTGGGGGAGGCCTTGCTTTGGAGGAGATGGGAATGGGGAGTGGGCTGGGGGGAAGTGGAGGGGAGCAGGAAAGGGGAGAACAAGGGAATCTGTGGCTGTTATGTAGAACTAAATAGTATTGTAAAATAAAATAAAAAATAAATAAATAAATAAATAAATAAATAAATAGAAATAAATTCTGAACACCACAGAGAAGTCAAAGATCAAACCAAAGGAGAGCATGGAAAGAATGTCGAGAATGAACAGATTTTTGTTCTTGGGACCAGTATCAAGCCTGTTGTACTTTAGGACTCTGGCTGTAACTCCAAGTGTCCTAGAGCATCCCTAAGTAAGGAGAAGCTCCTCCCATGTTTGCACCCTACCTTTATGAGATGGAGACAGAGTGGCTGATTGATGATGACATATTTGCTAAATAAGTGGAATGTAAAGAATGAAGCAGTAATTCTAGATTACAGTAGTTCTCAACTTTCATAATGATGTGACGGTTTAGTATAGTCCCTCATGTTGTGGTGACCCCTGCCATACAATTATTTCATTGAGACTTCATAACTAATTTTCCTACTGTTATGAGTCATAATGTAAATATCTGATATGCTGGATATCTGATATGTGACCCCGCAAAGGGACCATGACCTATGGGTTGAGAACCACTTGTCTAGAACATTCTGAATTTAGCTGAGCACCCAATGAAAGGCTGGAGTCTCCCTTAGTCAGAAACAAGAGCAGCAGGAGACGTGGATCAGCAGAATACTAGGTAGAACTATTTAGGTTTAAATGTGAAACCCCCTTTCTCAAGAAAGCTAGTGAAACCAGTGATCAGTGCCAAGTGACAGTTTACTCCCAGTCCATATAGATGTAAATTTACATCTTAGAGTGAATATTGAGATGAACACAGATATGAATGACAAATGGAGAATTGTTTCAGACTCTGTCAAAGTTGTGTGATGAGTTGTATTCACTTCTAGTTTCACATACTACTGAAAATCAAGATTGTTAAAAACAATGTACCTGTTAAAGCAAGTGTTCTTATTTTTATAATCATTAAAGTTTCACCAGGCCTACTTTAAAAAATTAACATCATAGTCAAGTCATCTTTACAGGTTTACAGTTTTTTATTTTTAATAAACATTTTCACACAGTATAAAATGCTTTGACTTTGTGAAAGCAGTGTCAGGACTAAACCAAATGATGACACTTAAGTAATTGTGAAGAAATAGAGATCAAATGAGTTTAGGCCAATTTATTTAGAAGTGTGATCTCATATTGCTACAATTATTGATGATAGCATACTGAAATAACATGACATTTTTATTTGTAAGAAAATAATACCTAAGAAGACAATCAACTTTCAAAACAATATCATGTATCAGAACATCTTCCAAAATGTGAAGTGATACAGTGATTCCTTCACTGAAAAAAACAAAACAAAAAAAATTAACAATTTTTATTTGAACAAAACAGTGTACACAATAGTATATTAAAATTATAGGTTACATATGGATGTAAATATTATATTTGTCATTGTTCATATGAAATGATGAAATGAAGTTATTATCAATATCAGTATTGCTTTCTATACTTATTAAAAGTAAATATTCAGTAGAGAAGAATACTATAGCATTAAGATGATTTTAATTTGAAACTATTATGGGCAAAAGCCACATTTTTATTTGTCTGATTATTTTAATCATCCAATAGTTAATATAGAAATGTTAAGAAATATTTTAATAGGTAAAAATGTTCAAAGAGTTAAACCAATTGAGAAAAATTAGAATTCCACAAACTTTATGAAGTACAAATTGTTTATACTTCAAAATTCAACAATAGTCACTAAAAAACGGATGATTCACTGAATGTGTACTTGCCAAGTTTATTTTGGAGTGCCTAATAAAGTGAGTAAAATATTCTGAATATTTGCATTACAAAATAAAATCTGCTCAAAGAAAATATATGGAATCAAAATCTACTTAGGTCATTAAACAATAATAAAAACTAAATCATACCTTGCAATATAAATTATTAAAATTCCTAGTGATGGGATGATACCATGCCATCTCTTGATTCATTTTGAATAAACTTGAAAATGAATAGCCTAAACTTGCTGAAATTGCTTTAAAGTCTCTTCTGGGAACAGGGCTTCCAGGAATACAATCTTAGTGAAACTGATTTTTGTACTCTGAATACCATTATGAAAAAAATGTACTTTAAAAAAGATGAGTTATGTATTATTCCATCTGAGTGACATTGCTCTCCAGCTAACCCACAGTGGAGAAGTGAACAAGCAAGACTTGATTTCATTCATCATAATACAAATTTAAAATGATGACAGAGCCAGCACTCATGTTAGTGCCTGGCATGGGAGACTAACTCCTTTACTCTGAACCTTCCTTTGATTATGGGCAATCAGCTCTTGTGTGTAGTGTCTACTAGCATCACCTCTATACATGCTTAATAAACAAGGTGTATGTCTGAATGCTTTTGTATCATATCCCTTTATGTAATGTATGTTCTAATTGTGTTTAATAATTGGTATTTTATTGTTGCTGAACAAAACCATCTATAGTCCAATATACATTATTCTTATAAATAATGAATGATATATTAGTACTATTTTTCAATGGTATAACAAATTAACAAAGAAAATGAATAAATCCCATTAAGTAGTAATAAAAGAATATAATTAGTCCAATGGTAAATCATAATCACCATATAATACATACTATAAAAGAGTGATAAATACTTTGGTGTGTGTTTTATTTCATTATTTTTCTTTTAATCTCTTTCCTGACTAATTATTTTTGTTATCGATTTATTTTCACTACTTATAATCAAGTGTGTGTTTGTGTGTGTGTGTGTGTATGTGTGTGTGTGTGGTGTATAGGAGGTGGTATGTAAACAGTGGCCAAAGGAACTTATTGGCAAGGAGTGACTTTCAGTTGTAGTCAAGGAAGGATTGGACCTCATTAGTTCCTCCTCCACCCATAGTGGAATGAATGTTAATGGGCCCATCAGCCTTGTACTCATGCAATGGTCATGTCCTATTCAGAAGCCAACTTTTCACAGAACTCCCCCTTCAGCTGATTCTTTATATTTTCTGCTCCCTCTTCCAGAATGTTCCTGGGTTTTGATAGTGGTTATAGTCATGTCAGATTTGGGTCTGATTACTCAAGTATTCAGCTACTTTCAGGACTTTAACTATGGTGAGTTTCTGCATTTACTGCCTCACACTATGAAAAGAAGATTTTACCTGAGAGCAGATATAGGTATAAACAACACATTTATAAAGCTGTGTAGTATCAGGAAACACATCCACTGGAAGGAGGAGGAGGAAGAGAAAAAGAAGGAGGAGGAGGAGGAGGAGGAGGAGGAGGAGGAGAGGAAGAGGAGGAGGAGGAAGAAGAGGAAGAGGAAGAAGATTTCTTTTGACTAGAGTTATAGTGCCAGGCATGAATTCCCTCCTATGGAATTCAATCACATATTGGTTGGATACCCTCGTAACAGTCAGGCTGCTAATACACACTTGGCTGTTTTTTGCGTAGCAGGTCAGAACAACAGCATGCAGGGGCATAGCTGGGTAAGACAGTTGATGAATTTTCTACTCCACCAACATACATAGCACATTTTGGAAATATGTTTCTGCTGTGGGATGGTTTGTATGCCAAATCTGTTGCTCTGATTGGTCAATAAATAAAACACTGATTGGTCAGTGGGTAGGCAGGAAGTATAGAGGAAAAAAGAAAGAACAGGAAGGCAGAAGGAGTCACTGCCAGCCGCCACCATGACAAGCACCATGTGAAGACACCAGTAAGCCACAAGCCACGTGGCAAAGTATAGATTTATGGAAATGGATTAATTTAAGCTGTAAGAACAGTTAGCAAGAAGCCTGCCAGGGCCATACAGTTTGTAAGCAATATAAGTCTCTGTGTTTACTTGGTTGGGTCTGAGCGGCTGTGGGACTGGCGGGTGACAGAGATTTGTCCTGACTGTGGGCAAGGCAGGAAAACTCTAGCTACATGTTTCCCTTACCAAAGAGACTGATTTTGCATTTGCCCTATTTCATACCTTACTCACACTTCTGGCTCTTTGCTCCAATGCCTTTTTTCACTTCCTTATTCTCCTTCTTCTTTATCATCATATATTATTTTTTTATCAATGAATTGAAGGTTGTCAATGTTTTCACAAAACACATTAATAAGACCAACATCCTTTGTCAGTAGGCAGTTTGATGGGATCCTAGAAAAGAGAATGAATGGACATAAAAAGTAATAAATAATATAAATACAGAGTTTATTATAGTTGATAGACACTCATTTGGTAGCTTTTTTAATGCACTAAAGAGAGCACCGTACTGTTGAATGAATTCTAATTGATAGTAATAATAAAAACCTGGAGTCAGATATTGGGGCAAATGCTGAAAGATCAGAGATATAAAGGAGCCAGTCAGCAGAGAGACTTCTTACCTCTACTGAATTTTCAGACCAAAAGGGGGCTGAACTCCTGTCTCCTCCCGCCTTATATTCCCCTTCCTGCCCCACCATATAACTTACTTTCTCTACCTCCTTAGTGCTGAAATTAAAGGTGTGTGCCTCCCAAGTTTTGAGATCAAAGGCATGAGATCTCAAGTGCTGAGACCAAAGGTAAGAGCCTCTACCCCCTGGCTCTATTTCTCTTCTAGACTGGATCAATCTCATGCATCCCAGGGTGGTCTTGAACTCCTGATCTTCCTGATTCCTCTTCCTAAATGCCGGGATTAATGGTATGTGCCACCACTCCCTGGCCTATAGCTCTGCACTCTGATCTCCAGAGAAGCATTATTTGTTAATGTACAAACAAAATATCACCGTGCTATACCAAGAGTTAGAAAAGCAGAGTCTAGGCCTTATTTTGCTAGTATACTAACTACGTATAGCCCAGAAACACTGACTTTCTTACTTTAAATGCAGATAAAAAGCAAGGCAGAATGTAATAAATGTTATACTCAATTATTTCCAATGATTTAATGCAGAAATAAATATAGGTAGTATTTTATTCCTTCTGCTAGAATAATAAAATTTTTGAAATTTGGCATTTGAATTAGGCAATGAAACTCACAATATTTCTATTAATTAGAAAAGGGAATGAAAAATGCCAGAAGTATCTTAAAATATGTTCAGATATTTGAGAGAAGATACTGACTATTATATACTATAGAAGAATGCAGTTTAAATTTTTGAATATATTAAAATATTTATAATAGGTATTTGGTATGCATATGTAATATACACAAAATGAAGTGTTTTTTAGAAACTAGTTGTTCTTAATGCTCACATTCTTAAAGATGTAATATTAGAAAATTGAGAGCTCAAGTTTACTATATATTAATTATGGAAATAATAAGTGTTCTGGTGATGGATATAATGTTCTTTCATTCTATCTTCTTTTCTTTTTTTTACTAAGAAATTTTTTTATTCATTTTACATGCTAATCACAGATCCCCCTCTGGCCTCCTTCCCTCCTTAATCCACCCACCATTCCCTCCTACAAAAAGGTAAGGCTTCCCAAAAGGAGTCAGCAGAGTCTCGTACATTCAGTAGAGGCGGGTCTAAGCTCTTCCAACTGCCTCACAGCTGTGCGAGGTATCCCACCATAGGTAGTGGGCTCCCAAAAGCCAGTTCATGCACCAGGGACCTAGGTAAAATGGGAGAATCCCTGTAGCTTATTATTCAGTCTGCTAAACTGATGATTGGTTTAGGGTTTTACTGCTATGAAGAGACACCATGACATGGCAACTCTTATAAAGAAAAAGATTTAATTGAGGGGACTTACTTACACACATGCAACACACCTACATCAACAAGTGCATACACAATACACAGGAAAGATAATACAGACATGAGTGCTCATAAACAACCCCCCTCACAAGGTTTTCACATACTTAAAACATCACCATCCAGTTTTAACTAGATGAAACATCAGATAAGTACCCTATGAGCATTTTTTCAGTTCAGTTGCAGATAAATTGTGATGATTTTGTCATGATGAAATTTCATCACCAGAGTGTATATGTGAAAGCTCTATCATGAACTTACATTTATTTGTACATGCAAAGCAGTCTTTGTTGGGAAGTTTGTGCTTCATCCAAGCGTACAAACTTACCAATGGTACTCAACCAGTGGGTCACAACCCCTTTGAGGTCTCATCAGATATCCTGCACGTCCAATATTTACATTATGGTTCATAACAGTATCAAAATTGTAGTTATAAAATAGCACCTGAATAATTTTATGGTTGGGGGCCAATACAACATGAAGAACTGTTTTTATTAAAAAGTTACAGCATAAAAAGATTAAGAACTACTGAATTAACTGAGGCTGCATTCTCTCTTATCCGTGTCCAGAATTCCAACCACCAGCTTCACTGGTTATTGGGATTACCATACTCAAAGCTTTTATATTCAAACTCTGACCTTTGCTTAGTTTTTTCTTCAAATATGCTTAGATCTCTAGATATCCACTTATTTAAATCACTTGAGTCATCAACACTTTGATTGTACTTCATCCTGTCCAAGAAATTGGTCCTGAACAACCATGCCTGCATGTTTTAAGAGAAACTTTTTCCTTCCTTTGTTTTACAGCCTATATCTCTTTCTTATATATGAAATGAAACCTCTTTCTGTTATATTTACCATGTTTTACACTTTCTTGCTCTTTAATGAGTTTCTCAAGAGTATAGCATTATTTTTTAGTTTTTTTGTTGATATGATTTTAGTATCTATTTTTTTAAAAAAATAATATACATTCAATAATATTTTTGCTGAGAAACTGATTAGTAACCAGTTAGTTGCAAGATTACATTCCCTTTCCTTTTGAATACAAGTAACACTGAATGAAGAAAGAGAGTCCCTTGGTGTAGACATTCACAAACTGTCTAAGACATCAAAGAAACAGATAAAAATATGTTCTGAACTAGCTGTAGCTTTCCCTTCCTCAATCCATGCTTTCTGTGTGTCCCACAGACCATCTCCCATCCCACTGGCCTTCCATCCCCACCTCATTGGTGTGTCCTAACCTTCAGCACCCTCTGTGTGTCATAGCCAGCAGACAAACCCTGCTTAACCACAGGCCATGTCTGCCAAATAACTAGATAGGCTGCCAATATACCTTTCCTTCTCTCTCTGTTTAATAAACCTGTTTAAACAAATTCTCAAGTTTACCCCTAGTGCCTCAATAGCCTTCTCTCCCTTGCTTCCTCTTTCCCCAGCCTCTAACATCAGCAAGCATTCCACTTGAATACACCAGCCTCGCAGGCCAACAAAACAAGCAACATACAGTCACCACATTCACTGAAAATCCAGAGAAGAAACAGAAACCAAGGAACAAAATCCACACTAAATAAATACAAACCCAGAAATAGTAACTGGACCTATGACTACCCCAAATCAGATGCCTAGATGCCAGTTTAAGAACACAATAACAGCCAGGACAATATGTCTCCATTAGACATCAACTATCATACTACAGCTGACCCTGGATATTTAAACCTAGCTGAAGCACAAGGAAAATACCTTAAAACCAACTATATGAAGATGATAGAGGCCCTTAAAGAGGGAATGAATAAATCCCTTAAGAAAATCTGGGAAAACAAAAACAAAAAATATTAGAGAAAATGAATAAACCTTTCAAAGAAAGCCAGAAACACAAACAAAAAAATTGGAGGAAAAAAATAAATCCCTTAAAGAGAGTAAAGAACCAATAAACAATTCATGAGAGAAGCAAATAAAACTGTTGAAGACCTGAAAATGGATATAGAAGGAATAAAGAAAAAATAAACAGGGAATTCTAGAAATGGAAACGTTAGAATACAAAAATTTCAGAGGCAAGCTTTACCAACAGAATTCAAGAGATGGAAGAGAGACTCTCAGACACTGAAGGTAAAATAGAACAAATGGATATATTGGTCAAAGACAGTGTTAAATCTAAAAAATTCCTGACACAAAATTTCCAGGAAATCTGGGACACTATGAAGAGTCCAAACCCAAGAATTACAGGAGTAGAGGAAGCAGAAGAATACCAGATCAAAGACCCAGAAAATACTTTCAACAAAATCACAGAAGAAAACTTTCCCAAGATTTCTACAGAAGGAGATGCCTATAAAGGTACCAGAAGCACATAGAACACTAAATAGATTAGACCAGAAAAGGAGTCCCCTTACCACAC